AGAAGGTTAACTTTCTGTGAGAAACAACCAATCAAAAGACTGCATTTTCTATTAACAATAATCTACAAATAATGTACATTAAAATCTATGAATATGTGTTGATTTTCCTTAATGAACGATCTGTTGCCTGGCCCTTGTCTTCTGTTGTTACACTAGCACTGGATATTGAACTAATGTTTGATGTGCGGCAAAGCAGCCTGAAGAATGCTAGTGGAAGCTTATCTAATGCGAATCTTTAAATTTCCAAAATCGCATGGGTGTTTTGGGAAAAGCCGTTAGAAGACTCGTTCCTTTTGGAACACTTGCTGAGACTCTTATCACCTACTAGCCCGTACACGTATATGCCTACGGCTGAAGGGACGTAGAAAACAGACAGTAATGAAGCCACTTCGCTCCCTAGTTGATGGGGACGCGAAGTTCATGTATATATATATATATATATATATATATATATATATATATATATAAAGAGTGTATGCATATGTGCCACTGAGAGTTTTAAACATTTCACCAACAGTCTTTAGATATCGGTTCAAAGTGTTTCGAGGACCAAAGGTTTGACATCTGCTCCTCCTTACGTGGTTCAAACCAACAGACAAAGACTTCATTAATTCATGCCAGGTTTTGGTCTGACTACCCCTAAATCGTTTGCAACCTAGTCGTATACCACTTAGCATCGCTTGGTAAGTATAACAGAAAACGGGTTTACGTGAATTAAGAATGAATGACTGACACTTATTTTCGTCACCAATTCGCTGTATAAAACGCTTTATTGTAGACAAATTAGCCGAACAGTTAGAAATTAGAAAATGAAGACATTGACATAGTGAGTACAAAATAAATTAAACTCTAGTCGATTAAAATGAATCACCAGCTGCGCATTCCAACAACTACACCAAACGATCTAGTTCTGCAGAATATTCACTAGTTCATCGAATGCAAATGTCTAGCGTATATCTATTACCTATGAGAGTTCTAACAATTTCGTTTATTTTCATCACTGTTGATCATAACATAATACTTACGGTTTTTGTGGTGAGTAATTTCTACTAAACTTAACATCCATGTTTTCTGTCAGCAAAACTCATCATATTCTGATATAATGATGATGAAACTGATTTGTCGCATTCATATGAACTGGTTCAACATTTACGATAAAATGCAAGACGTTGTTTGTCAATGAGCTCGGCATAAACAGAAATGTGCTACTGTAACAACAGAAGACAAGGGCCAGGCAACAGATCGTTTATTAAGGAAATCAAAGCATATTTATATATTTTCATGTACATTATTATAGATTAGTTAAGCAAACAAACAGTCTTCTGATTGGTTGTTTCTCACTTAAAGTTAATCTTTCATCTATTTGTGACTGTTTCTTGAATGTCACATCATCTATATGTTAACTGTATCCGCCTACGCAAAGTCTGCTGTGGTCGGTTTTGAATCAGTCTTTGTTCATATTTTCTCACGACAAATCTTGAGAACGTAAACATTGACGTAAATTACTGTCTACCAATTTGGCTAGTAGACAGCTCTCACCACACTACTACTTACAAACATGTGATATAGATCGCTTGTTGACTTTGCTGGACTGGCCCATGTATCACTTAAACTTGAAATTTGAAAGAAATCAGCGTCCTTGTGAAAAATTCTTGTCGTAGCAACAGGCAATGATATCTCAGGTGGAATTATTGTAAATATTTAACTTTTTCGGAAAAATCATTGTAAACTATCTATTCAAACTCATTTATTTATCATCATACTACTATTCCTATTCTAATAGATGAAATGCTCTAGTATTTTCATTTTTGTTATTGTTCTGAATCTGTCTGTGCCATTTTCGATTGTTAATTATTAATTCCTTCCACAAAAATGCTTTGAGGTACACTATATATCACAGCTGATTTAAAACCCCATGTTCCATTCAGGCTTGCCACCTAAAACAATCGTACAGTGATGCGAATTAAACAGGTTTTGAGGGAGGCCTTCCTGTTGATGTATGCTACATCTCGGAAATCTAAATACAACATCACAAGTGAAGGGCTACGACTAACTCTTCTAACTGTCTACTTACAGGATAGTGAGATCCGCTTACCTGATATTTGTATATCCATACCAGGTGTTTGTGTGCTGTCAGTCTACAAATTCAGTTTAAAGTGAGACAACCAGTCTTTCGCTATGGCTACTTATGCAATAAGGAAAAGTAGTTTCCGTTTATCGAAGATATATTTCCTTTCAACGACTTCATTTTCAAGCTGTACAGTCGTATTTATATCACGGAAAAAAAGCATTAAGTGGTACTAGAAACTGCTCAGTCAATGTACATATGATAAGAATAAAGATAATTAAAGTGATGTACTAAAAGGGTAGAGTTCAAGTGGATTAGTTACAAAACATTTAAAGATTATTAAATAAGTGAACGGGTATAAAGATTTTACAACTGTAGGTCAGGTGTTTTCTGAAAAATTGAGTACGATGATGGTAAGAATAAAGAAAGCGAAGATGAATTCAAGTAGTAATATAAAAGAAAATTACTATGACCAAGGTGAAGAAAGGAGTTTTGAACACATAATTTAGGTTTCTATCCATGTATACCTAGGACTTCGGCTATGCATAAGTGGAAAAACGTAAGCTTTTGGAGTGGCTGGACATGGTTCTGTAAATAACTTTAGAGGATAAATCACGCGGGGCTGAATGACCTGACTCCAGATGTTTACAAATTGAAGACTGTCGTCCTTTGCTCACCTTTCATTAACCAAACCTCGTAGTTTTCAGCTACGCGTTTACGGAGATTACGCTTACAACGTCTAGTGTAATCAGCTCCATAGCTGCATGCGAATGGGTATATGCACATAGAAGTGGACATAAGAAGTAGTTTATCCTTGACGCATTGTAGAATCATATTTCGGCTGGTAAATACTAAATGCGAGGCACTTGCATAAAAAGTTTAACACAATTGATGAAACGACCTGTAATCACTTCAGCAATAGAGTCACCTTTGAACGCCAAACTGTGATTTGGATGGGAAAGGTTTCTTTCCTGATGTTTCTGTCAATAGACCTTCTAGGATATCCATTACTCAAGAGAATTGTGCGAGAGTTTTCTAGTTCTGTGTCGACTGTATCTGTCGAGCAGATTCCCCGAAACTGGAGCATAGAGAACGGATAAGATTTCTCTTCCAGCCTAGTGGTACACACCTGTTGAAGTTAGTGCACTGCCCTTTATATGTTGACTTTCGGCAGATCGACTTTTTTGACGTGCCATCCTCTCTCCTACCTAGCATCACGTCTAAGAAGTGAAATGCGGAATTCGACTCTTTTTTCGATAGTGAAAAGCATAAATAGGTGACAGCCATTATATTTTCCAAGAAGCTCAGCAGATGAACAATTGTCATAACAAATAATGGTGTCGTCATTATATCACTTACACATATGCAAACTCAAGATTGTTTCTTTCAATGAACTACGCTCTGAGCTTTCCATGAAGTCATCCGCTAGGAGAGGTCCTGATGGAGACCCCACGGCGACTCTATCCCTTTGATCATAGATGACATTCTTAAATCTAAACTGCATTTCAAGTGCGCATCTCAATAAAAGCTGCTTCAGATAGTCAGTTAGCACTCCAATGTTTATGCATTTTAGGTCGACGTAGTCACATAGATAACAAATAGTTTCTAGTACTGGTACATTTGTAAATAAAGAGCAAGCATTTAGTGAACTCACTTATTTACCGGGTCACATTAATTCATGCAATGACAGATATGTTCCAAATGATGATGATCCTGATGAAGAGCGCTCTACAAATATGTAGTTCTAGGTGAAGACTTGAATGCACAAGCCAAACATTTGGTTGTTCTGGTAGTCAGTGGGGCCTAGTTCACCACATATCCGTTCTTTTCTAATTCCTACTAACGACCCCACGTAACTATAATATCCCATTTGTTTTGTCCTCCTTTCACATAATATGTGACCTTTCGTCGTATGCTTTACTCAATGATTTTGCATTATAATGCAAGCTTATTATTCTCCATACATTTTCGTCGGTGAGCATGATATTCTAATTTCTTTCTTCGTTATCGTAGTTGACTCACTACTTGAATCAATACTTTATATATATATATCTACTGAAAATGTAAATAAATACAACTGTACAGCTCGTCAAAAAGACACTCCTAGAAGTAATTCTAGATCATACAACAGGAAAATGTAGTAGAGTCACTAGACTGAAACGTTATGTTGAACTTCTGAGTTATGATATTCTTAGTAAAAGATATGTAATACATAATGTGTAGAGTATTACTGCGTTAACTCGAAGTACGCCTGAGCAGTCTTATTTTCAAAGGCTTAAAAGAACGGTTCACGTGAATCACGATAAGATGAGAACCACGAATGATATTTGGAGTCAATAAATTGCATGTGGTGTTTTCAACTGTTCCCTTTTTAAGAGTTAGTTTCTTTTTGCTGCAAACTTCTTTTTTCTACTTTTTTGTGACTTGATCAACAGAACAGATAAAAAAAGCCTCCAATAATTGTCTGAGTTTAGGACAGAATGACAGTTTACTACAATATATTACTGGTTTCGAAAACAAGATGTTCTGCACACGTCTCGAAGACACAAGCCGTAATAGTCAGAGGGTCGACTAGTGAGGCCAGGTGAGTATCTGCCCTATGACATATATATATGTATGAAAGCTGTGTCAAAAGTATTTCACCGATTTTGTCTTCTTGAGTTGAATAATTAGCCTGAACCAGCACTAACTGTTTGTGGCTTACATGGGCTATCATTGAATGAATTACTTTTTATCTAAAAGTATTGTAGCATGTATTCATTGATTTAAAATTGAAACTTCCTACAGTTTTTACTTTGTTTCGTCGTAATAGTTTTCTCAAATATACAGATAACTTCTCCCCTGGATGTTCTCAAACCTCATAACTAGATCCCATTTACTTATTTCAAGTGAAAAACGGAAGTGACCACTACTTGCAGCATTTCACTGATGACACACAACTCACACCTGATATTTTTATTTCATGCAAATTGAAATCAAAGCACTGACTATGCTGAACATTATGTATATCCATTTAATGTGATACAATATAAAATTGACAGGAGGAATAACAATTTTCAAAATGAAAATGTTAAAAATTAGTGTGAAATATTAAAATGATGAAATAAGGGACTATTATGATTGTTTCATCAATAATACAAGTCTTAATATTAATAATAGTAATAATAATAATTCAACACAACAAATTTATGTATCTTAGTTAACACACAGATATTTCAGTCTATTTTAATAACGGAATAGATATATCGTAGAAATATGTATGTCGATGTAAAACCAATAGTGCCTGTGAGAATCCAAAATGCGATTGCCATTAGTGTACTATAGCCAAAGTATATAATTGTTGGAACAAATTCTGTAATATTAAGCTATAAACGGGAAAAGAATAACAGCAAACACAGTAATAATCAATTCATTCCAAACAATACTAACTATACAGAATGGAATTTTCAGTGAGTTTTTATACACATTGCAACAATTTAGCTCTATTTATAAACAAGTACATACATAAAATTTAAAACACTAATGATAACATTAATATTAATAATGAAACCATTATAAACAGAATGTTGGTGAAAACAAAATGAAGTATAAATAGATAGTATCATAAATAATACAAGTAATAATCTTTGCTCATACTTTGCAGTTCAGATTACTGATTTAAAAAATCTATAAGTTCTTTTCTGATATCTGACTCTTCACACATAACCCGTGCTAAATATGGTATGGTAGAATTTTTATATTTAGTTGTACGAGCGTTAATTCTTATGAAGTTTCTTCTGGTTTTACCCGAAGAGATACAAGGAGAAAGTTGAGAATAAAGAGGATGTTCACTATCAGACAAGATAACTTTACCTAACTGTTTGCAAGAATTGAAGTGCCTATTGACAATAATATCAGTTAGCTGAGTCAAAGGCACACCACTAATAGGTATTATTGTACCTAGATTACTACAGACACAAAGAAATGAAAAGTAAAATTGTAAATACATACCTTGGTCACAAAGTAGAAGAAGGAATATCCCAACAGATAAACTGCAGCTCCACCAGATGTTATGAAGGTACGCCACCACCAATGATAGTCCTATGCAATTAAATGTAAATGATCATCTTTTTTTAAAGAATATTTATGAATTTAACAAAAGAAAGAATAGACGCACACAGATCAAAAGCTATGAATATACATATATATATCTTCTGAGTAGGGTGATTATAATGTTTATTTCATCAGTCAATATGATAGTGAAATACCTTTAATTATAATGAACACATTCTGTCTGAACATTGTGATTAACAATGAACAACTGATGTACACAACTCCGATAAAATTTACACCGGTGATGAAACTTTTAATAAAGATAAGTATAGACAAAAACTATCGTAGATATACACTCGTAGATAACATAAATACAAAAGAGCATTCCAGATAGATTTTCAGTCGGGAATCGACAAAAAGGTAAAATGATGATAAAGCAAGAGGAATAATCATCTCATAATATTATAGTTCAGAAAATGAAAACAAGACTTCAAAGTAACACTTTAAGAAAAATTAAGTGATTATACGTAATTCATTTAGATCGACAACTAAGAAGATTGTCATTCATTATTCAGTTGCACATAAATACCCCATTGTGGTATTCCCTCTTCATATATATGTATATGTATAACGTTTTCACTTTAGTACTTTGCGATTTTGACCAATGCAAAAGATGAAATCAAAATTGAAACGAGATTATCAATACAAGTGATTGTCAGCAATTTATAGAAGCTCGTCTCATTCTCAAAATCACCCGGATTTTAAACTAAGAACTATGTGTACAACTACCACCCAGTACATGGCAAACGAAAACTCAACAGAGTACTATATGCAGAATACATCTAAGCAACTGACCATGATATTGTGGAATCATCAATGAACTAATTCATTATTATTTTATTGAATTAAGTCTTAACGAAGCGTTACTACTGACCTTACATGGTGTTGATTTGAAAAAGAAATTTGCTGTGCCATCCCTTCCCCCCAATAAATTGGTGTAGGATGTTCAAATTATTACAATTAGGAGGCAGCCGGCATATCTCTCAACCTGTTGAACAATGAGAGAATGAATTACATCCTGGTGTGTATGGAGCTTGATATTTGGCTGGTGTCTGATGATTACCAGGCTCAATTAAATCATTAGCGACAGTTTTACTAAAAAGGTATTCTTATATTCTCATTTTGTGAAATAAACTTAGACTTTATTTTTATTTTGGCATCAATTTTACTGTACTAACTAATTAATTTAAAATAAAAAGCCAAAAAACTGTGTATGTCACATTGTCATGCATCCGCCTCTTACCTCATTGCACAACTGAAAGTACGTCGAAACGATAGCCACTTGAGCACAACATATGATCAATATTATGAATACAACGAACAAAAATCCGAATAAATAGTAGAACTGACTTTCCCAAATAGCCTATCATTCAATCATGGAGGAAGGGAGAAAAATAACAAAGAATGATTATCAAATTACACTTTTTACAACTGTAGTCAGTCATACAGTATGATGCCTAAAGGCCAAGTATTTCACTTGACAGGATAAAACGCATGTTATGATCATTCAATTTGCTTTTAAAAGTAAGATCACTTGAGGTCATAATACTGTGTCATCTTTGTGTTCAAGTAGGGCACATTGTAGATGTCTGCATAAATCATACAATCAAGGGTGAATGAAACCACAATCAAGATAGATTGAAGTTTATAGAATGTATTGAAGTAGACTAGCATAACATTGAGGAGAACAGTCTGATGGGGGAATAAAACTACTCTACAGGTAAATTACAGCTGATCAGTAAGTATTATCGAGATGTATACATGGGTCCATCAGCAAAAGCCGAAATAGTGTAAAATGTCTATAATCTAAATCGAGGTAAAGCAGACATTTGGTCTCACTCTTTAACTGAAATAGCGTTCAATTATGATGGCGATGAGGAAGGTGTTATGTGGGCCGATATGAATAGCAATAATTATAGGGGTTATGAGACTCTGTTGACTCATGAGTCAGTCAGTCTTCTAGTGACCGCATTAACTAATCAGTGCTTTCAACTATAAGAATAAAATTCATAACAGTGTTGGTCGTGGATTTAATAACGGATTTCTAACATCGCATTACGGTTTGGACATACCTCCTCTATAAAATATTCTTCTCAATTATCTTATAGTTTCCTGAAATCTCAGTGGCCGCGTTTGATATAATCTCATCTATTTAAAACACAAATCATACAATAATCAAACTCACATTGTATATGAAGAAGACTTCAATAAAAACTGCACCGAAGGGTAGAGCTCCAGAGTAGAGAGTGCTACAAAATATCAATGTACCACAGAACATTTGGTAAGCATCTGAATTCAACTAGAAAAATTTAAACATAAATGTCAAATTTACTTCTCTCGGTCATATTCAATGTCAATCATTTTAAGTAGCATATAATTAATCGATGATTTAATGGAATGAAAGACAGTCACATAACAAATAACTACCAATTTTGGATTGATTGCCATTTACTTCAAAGAATAATGCGGTATAAAGCAATATGCACAAATGATGAGTTAATTCATCCGAAGTGATTATGAAACTGTTTAAATAAACAGATAAACTGTTGACAAAGTAAGCAGATAAAAATTACAACACAATAGGTCTAAATTACGTGATATATGCTTTTTACACCTTTAGTTATATTAGAAGACTCGCAATGCTATCCAGTCGTCCAGCTCGAAGAACAGCACAAAATTCTTCGGTAAGAGGTCAGATGCATTATTCTATGAGATAAACTTCTTTCTTGAGACAAATGTAGTTCCGATTTCACTAAAATCGACCACAGCATGTCGTAGCTGTGTGACTGTATTTCATAAGAGTTTTTCACCAGGATGAGGTCAACACCCAAATCCAGACAACAGGACATTCAAAACTAGGTGCATACATTACTTGACAAGGGATGGAATCGACTAACAGACAGCATACAATCAGACTTTGAAACAATCGAACCACAATGTCAACGAATAATCTTGAAGGACAACAAAGTAACAATTAACTGATGGAGAAAAACCTTTCACTCATTTCGTCCAAACGTCTGCTACACTATAAAGTCAGACGAATAGAAGTGATTCAACTTTCAGTGATAAATAAAAAATAGTATAATAGGTTGTATTAAATAAAGCATGAAACCTTTAATTACTGGCTTCAATAAACTACAAACAAACGATAATATAAGGCGAAATACTACTGATTTCTCTGAAAACTTATAATTAACTGAAACAAATAAGCAGTTACTTAAGCGACAGAAATTTCAAATCGCTGATATATTGCATCTTTGGCGTTTTAAGAAACATACAATTTCTATGAATTTATTTTGTTTTACTTGGAAAACAAGGAAACACTTTAACATTTACTGATATGACTTTCTGTGTCGGTGGCACAGCGGTTAGGACGCTCGCCGACCATGCACATGGTCCGGGGTTCGACCCCCGGCCGACGCACTCCTTTACCTCACTAAGCCAGAAATAATGCTGGTAAAGAGGAAAGGTTGGGCATGAGGCTAGTAACCTAATCCTGTAAAAATAAACACTGCTACAGAAACTTCAAGCTTGAAGCCCTATGTTCCACTGGGAACCTGAAGGAATAAAAAAAATGTGACTTTCTCGTACATCCATCTCATGGTAGTAGGAATTTATTTAATATATGATATAGGCATCATCACCATTTGCTTCATGCTATTCACCATGTTTTGTAGATCCATTAAGTGAGCAGTTCAGAACTCATATATAAAGTCTAACGTAATGAAGGTAGGCCTACACAGTCATAAACCACCACCGATTGAAGTGGCTGAAAGCTCTACTAGGTACGTATACTGAACATCTACCTCGACGAGGCATTTTGCTGGAATCAGGATCAGATTGCATGAAAGCAACTAGTTAGTGTCACTTGTTGTTTCCTTTACTATGACATTCAACTTGAATCGCAGATATGAAATGCAGCGATATGTCATATATTGATAATGTGTATATGCCTGTTAGCAAGCTATGCAAAGAACGACAAAATCAGGATTGCATGAAGAGTAAACACAAGAAAAGTAATTTGAACAAGATTCGATAACCTAGAGATAACAATAATGAAATTAAGCAGTATGGAACACGTCTTTTTACAAAAGAAAACCTGGGTTACTTTTTCTTGATAACTACAGTATCAGAGACACAGAGAAGACGAGTTCAAATCATTTTCACGATATTACATCTGTGAATGCATGGATGGTTGAGAATGAACTACCAGTACCAACAAAGTGTCAAACTATTAAATTTTAATAAACCACTACCATTCTGTATCAGGGAATACTATTGGAAATTGGTCACAATTCTTTATTTGTTCTCTATTTCTTTCCTTTCATTAAATTCTAATTGATGTATTAGTGTTATTTATAGGAAAATCAACCAATGCACACTAACACTCAGAACACTGTTGATAATTTCTGTCCGTACTTGCTGTTGACTGTACGTTTAGGCTTAGTTCAAGGAAATGACTTTTTGTATGAGAAAGATATCACAGAGAAAATATTAAACTAGGACATATCTATATAACACCAATGCTCTTCACATACATATTGGTGGATGCAATCGAAGGTGATTCTTTTAGAGCTGTAGAGTAAGTTTCATTCATATGCATGTAGTATGGTTGTGGTGAGAGCTGTCTACTAGCCAAATTGGTAGACAGTAATTTACGTCAATATTTACGTTCCCAAGATTTGTCGTGAGAAACAACCAATCGGAAGACTGTGTTTGTTTGTTTACGTATCCATAGTAATGTACATGAAAACACATATAAATATGCGTTGATTTCCTTAATAAATGATCTGTTGCCTGACTCTTGCCTTCTGTCGTTACATGGTATCATCAAGGGTATGATATTTATTTATTTACAAAAGGAAGGGAATATGACAACTTACGTCAACAATAAACTTTGACAAAATTTTTGATCTGGTACAGCTCTGGGAATCTGGTTAGTTCGGATAGGCTGCTCATATCCACGTTTGCGGTAACCAAAATAGAATCCAATGTAAATGAGAGGTAAGGAAATCCCCAACCATAACGACAGCAATGCAATTAGTGTGGTAAATGGAACGGCAGCAGATGAACCCTTATACCAAATGAATGTATTCAGCACCAAACCGAATATAAGCACGATCCCAGGGAAGAGTAATCCAGTCTAAATGAAGATTTTAGAAATTATAATTACTCAATATTACAATCTTCTCATCTAAATGTTATTTTGAATTATGTAACCGTGAGACAAATCAGTGTTGAAATATTACACGGTTAAATCCTGCAGTCAGTAAAGGAACTTATGCAAGTGCAATCGATAACTCCATCCACTCCTTGTGACTTATGATTTCCAATTAAACTTTTGTTCTCCGTTATTACTATTCCTTTGTCTCACACCACTGTTTACTGTCTATATTATGCATTTCTTCTACTTCCTTCTCTTGCTTTGCGTGCTACATAGATTGTGGCGACTTGAACTGCCGCACATATGTGCAAAGTTCTATGTCGAAAACCGACCGACCGACCGAATCAATAACTCCATAGCTGTATCTGTTTCAAAGACCAACTGTATGTGCTATTAATTAGAAGACAACACAAATGTCAATAAACAAACTACAAAAGATACACGAAAACAGTGCATAAGATTGGCTTTTCTAACTGTACTTTATGACACAGTATTAACAGAATTATCTGTAAACTAATCCATCTAGAATAGTAATATACTCTTCAGCTAAACACATTTATAGCTTTACAGTTAATCATAGTTACATGCTATCCAGACTGCATAGGTAACACTGATGACTTTAGATAAAAACAGAATATCAATACGATGATCGATATTTTTTTACTAAAAAAACGTGAATTTCACATATTTTAGCAGACAATAAACAACCAGCAGGTAGATGTGGAAAGCTGAAACCAAATTTATGAAAATAAATGGGGGAAAGAGTATCATTGTAGGATCTACAGCAATACGGATTATTCAAATCACTAAAATAACTTTTTAATGAAAAATAATGAAATAGAAAAGAAATAATAATGAGAAATAATTGTGAAACTAATAATGATAACATAAACAAGAGAGAATATAAGGCATCTACTGTTATACACTATAAGGAGGGGACATCTGAGACCCTATGTAGGATTCTCAATAAAGCAGGAATTAGGGTAGCATACAAACCTACAAATTCACTCAGAGACAAGCTCAGTAGGCTAAAAGACCCGGTGGACCCAATTAAACAAAATAACATAATTTACAAAATACCTTGTAATCACTGTGAGGTCAACTACATAGGTCAGACTAGTAGGTGGGGGGTAGTCACATTGTCTGAACATAAGAATTTAGCTGAGGTAAGAATGGTTGACCGCGAGAAGATAAGTAATTTAGAAAACAGCTCAGCGCTACATTGCACTTCACGCATCAACAAACAACCACACAATAGGGTGGGATAGGGTTAAAATTCTAAAGAGTAACATAGGTAGGTGGAGAGAGAGGTTGATTACGGAATCCTTGTTCATTGAGTCTACACCCAATAACATGCAACAGAAATGACTCAATGCAAATACCAGAAATATGGAAGATATTATTACCGCCGATCAAATCAGGAGAGAACAATAAATAATCTTAATATTCTATTTCAATTCAAACACATCAAAACATTCTAACAAGTAACTTATTATGACTATAGAAACACTCGTCTTATTTCCCATCAAATTGTAATTGATCAATAACACTCGTATTATTATTTCTGAATGTACATAATCTCATATTGAATTTTATCCCAATATCTAATCGATTCCACACATGTATATAAATGAAAGAAAAAAAGTTGTGTGAGTAACTTGATATGATTATGAGTAGCAATAATTTGTGCTCGAAACGTCATCAGTTAATATTACTGTATAACACTGTGATTTATCAAAATAAAATCTTATCTGTAATGGAGTTATGCTCTACCACAGTGCCCAAGTTTTATACTTCTATCGAAAAGAAAGTAAGAATAAGAGAACAATAAAGCATGATCCAATTTGTCCCAGTTAGCTACAAAGGCATGTCAGTTAACATCCTTCATATTAGTGGGACCGATTACAATTCAACTAGAAATTCGTAAGTACAAGCTTTAAACTTCTACTCCTTATCAACTGATTATTTTACACCAGTGATCTGTTCTTATATTTAAATTGGTGGACTACCTCTGAATAGAAGTTACAAGAAATCTATTTCCACACAAACTACACTATTGAGATTAATGGTTCAAAACCTAATGGATTATTGTCGCTTGTGTATTGTGGCAATCGGAACTCTAGGTTATTGTTAATCCATAGGAAGAATAGAGTTGGTGAGCAATAAATAGGTCGGAGTGTCCATTATATAAAACAAGAAAAATGAAAATTATATTTATATGTCCTCACAGCTACAGCGGTTGACTTCCAGAACAATCCTCGTAGCGTTTTATATAATCTCCCAGCAAAATATCCGGCAAAAAGACCCATAAAAACGTAAGTGAATATCGCAGCATTCATTAGCGCTCCACGAGAAGCTGGTGATAAGGTTCCAAGCATGGCAAAAACTATATTTTCAGAAAATTAAAAATTAACAACAACAAAGGCTTAGGAACCATAATCAGCAAAAACAAACACTGAGATTAAACAGATATGTTGGACAAATCTTATTGTGATAAGTTAATGCATATTAGTTTGAAACCTAATAATGTGTGACAAACATGCAGTACAAAATCTTGTTGTCACTAATTTTATTTTGTAAGACACATCACTGATAATACTTTAACAACATAGTACCTGAGGTGTTCAGATTCCGTCTGATTTTCTACTGTGGCGTGTGCAGATTGATAGGAAGCGGCCAAAATTGAAATCAACATTGAAATCAATCAACAAGTCAATGGCTGAAGAGGTAGAAGTGTTGATTCATCAAATCTGCATTTATTTTACGTTATGGCCATGAAACATAACCTAATTGGACAATCTTTTTTAACCTTAGGCCAATCGCCAATCAATCAGGAAAATTCACTGTACGCTTGCCTAGCCGACTTTTATTGTTTTTAAAAATATATAAATATGATGTATTTTTCATAATAAAAGAGTCCGTTACTAACTCAGTTGAATTCAGGCATGCAAAATGAAAAACAAACATACATATTAACTTGGTATTGATGTATAACATTCCCAGATCCCACACCTACTTTTAGCACCTCACATAAGGTAAAGAAATTGAAAAATTATGGACTGTTTGATCGAAAATAGTGAAGTACTAAAAAACAATCAAATAGAGTGAAAAACAGCATAAAACTACGACACAGCCAGAATATGAAAGCCCTTTCATTACTATAAGTAGTGCTAAGTCGAATAAACGGAGAGCCTTCAGCTGTCGAAGTTGCTTTTCTTTTATAAAAAATACAAAGAACCCACAGTTTCATACAGACAAACGTTCGACAACTTGATATGATTATGAGCAATAGTTTGTGCTCGAAACGTCATCAGTTAATATTACTGTACAACACTGTGTGATTTATCAAAATAAAATCTTAACCATTATGGAGTTCTTCTCTTTACTTTGGTCTATGCTTCTAATGTCTGGCAACTTAAAGCGACACCCTTTGTGTGGAGTTTTACGATACGTCAATCATGTCGGGTAACGCCCGCGAAATTGGTCAGTGCACGGTAAAGAGAAGTTTCTGTGTTCTCTACGTTTACGCTCAATGCTTCATAGTCGGTTAAAGACGATACAACTAATGAAGCTACATAGGCCGCCTGGTTCATATCTGTTACTAATCTGCTGAAAAATATTGGCCGTTACCGTGCTTTGCAGACGTTGTAAAACACATCAGAAGCCAATTCATTAAAAGCAAACTGGGTTTCGTTCAGGCTACAGATACTCTGAATACTTATTTCATTTTCTTTCTCTCGAACTATTTTCTTCTCCTTTATTGATGCCATTCTATTACTTAGTACTGCACATTTTGTAGTGTTCATATAGCATATAATTGCTACTTAAAACAATAAAAACAATAGCACAGTATTTTTGAAAATGTTTCATTAACACTTACATATCACGATAAAGACCATGAAAAACAACTGCACACCGGAGCCGAACATTGCTGTAAGTAAACGTGTATGTCGAGGTGGACGGAATACGTCTCCGTGCACCAGTTTCCAACCTGACTCTTCAAGAATGTCTTCCTATAGATAATCGGAATAGAAACCAAATTAGCTTTTCGAAGACTACTCTGGTATAATAAGATTAACAAACCATAAAGATCGACTTACAACATCATCGTCACGGTTGTATTTTGCAATATCCTTTCTCAGAGTTCGAATAAGAATCATGAAAATGACCGCTATAAGAAAGGGAAGACAAAAATATTTAGGTGAAATACAACTAGACAAAAATATGGTTTAGCATACGGATTGTTGCACAGTCACATACCACCTATTGCTTCTTGAAAATAGCAACTTAACAAAAAAGCAAATGCCAGGCTAAAACCACCTGATTGTGGGTCTACCAATTCTCTCGTAATGAGGATGTTAAAACAAAGATTTGATTAGGGTTTGAACCTAAAAGAACTCAAATGTTAGATTAGCAACGTGGTTTGGTAAAACGCAGGGGCGTTTTGCCTTAGATGATTAGTAATAATTCCTGAACTAAGAGCATTAACAGCGGGCGGAAGAAGAAAAAGTAAAGTTTTGGGTATACGAAAATATTACGACGGTAGGTCATAAACAGATAAAAATTTTCGCGTTGATGGAAGTGTACAGTCAGTCAGCCCATCTCAGCTGCTATCAGTTTAGTATGATCTCATTGCCAAGAGAATCTTTTTAAGAGCTGACGAAAATTCTGAAGTCTCGTCCATACAAAAAAGCGTAACCGGCTACGGACCGTTTTAGGGTAAGTCAAGGTGTACAATTTATGAGGTCACATTTTTCTAAATCGTCCTTCTCAAAATTGGAAAGCAGTCTTACGGAAACGCTACCATATCTAACAGAAAAAGTTTATCCTTAGACCATCACCGTTCCACAAGCAATTTAAGCTGTGACGGCAGCTCATTTTAGTCTTAACGCTGACTAAATTATCTTCCTGTTACAGAACGACTTTCGGGAACAATTGTCAATGCCACTGTAGCTCACAGACCCAACCATGTCAAGTAGCAGCTATTGATCAAGACAAAGTAGCATAACCTCGAGCTATTATTTTTAACAATGCCTACACATCTCTTTAACAGTGTGTTCCTAACTATTTTGTGTTCACTTCGAAACGAACTAAACAATATTATACTTAGTTTTCTGTGTGGGAAGCCATACTATGAAAAATGCAAAGTTGTAGTGTTTTTGCTACTTATCTGCTTAATCTAGACGCTCGAGTAGGTATGGTAACAAACATTAACTGGAAACACATATAATTGGTTGACAATACTCCTAAGCCATATTTGGGGGAATACCATCCTATTGGTTTTTTCGGAAAGTACTTTTTATCGTTAGATGGAGACCTACGAAATGAGTCTGTTGAGTAGAGCTTAAAGTGTCACACTACTTATTTTCTTCGGTAAAAATTTAGAACATATGGCTTTTAAAAACATATATATATATATATGAGCTGTTTGTTGCTTTTACCAAACATCGAAGATGAATGGGAGGTTTATAAAACTGTTTAACTTTGTTTTCTTAGTAACTTCTTACTAAGCTTCTCGATACGTTCATCTCCGAAATGAGCTTCATAAGACTTACTAATTATCTTCCTGTACTCGTTACAAAGTAAGGCATAGGTCTGCTTAGACTAGTGAAAGCTCACTTTCTGAGTAGCAGGGGAAAGGAAGGATCCTTGTACATCAACTACAAAGGATTTGTATTTATCTAACTGATTAGAATGACTAGGAGATTATATTACATACAGAAGCCACACAAGATACACTGAATCAGCACTATTAAATACCCTAGTTCTAACAAAAATGTCAATTTAATTGTCACAAGAACTTAACTGACATGGTCTCAAACTTTTTGTCTGATATTACCCATTGGACCAAGGGGATAGCAAACTTCAGTAAAACACATTCTACATCTGTCTGTGGCCATATAGAACATACCACCGTCATGACCCCGAGAACCATTATTTGCTGACTGAGGTTCCTAGTCTTTGAAATGCTGTAATTGACACTGATTTTAGGGATGAAAACATTCATAGTAACTAACAACAAATTAGGCTGTTACATATCTCGGTGATAACCACGTACCAATGGTGTTATAGGTAGGGCTACATGAATTAAGTGTTGCCTCCGACTTTTTGTAGGTGATGAAAGTTCTTATAAGCTAGCAGATGAAGAGCTTATTCAAAGTAGCGCATGAGCATGCTGACTGGTGATTTCTAAAATAGTAACAAGACATTTTATACTAACGAATGAACCTATTTGCAGTCTGACTCGCATCTAAGTGTAAATGTTTAAGGTACACTTAAAATGCCAGTTCTGGTCTTTAGAGAGATTAGACATATCGGATACTAGATTGAACAATTACTTAGCGTCTCTTCGAAATGCTATGCCCTTATGTGTCGGACCACCAACAACAGTATGATAAATTATGATAGTACTCGACCGTTTAAACTGAAATAAATAAAATTAGAGTGGATGTCGCTATCTTTCAAAAGACAAATATCCCAGTCAGTGAAACAACCTACACTATTCGGCAACTTAGTGAGATGCAGATATATCACATGATACGCAAACAATAAATAAAATAAGCCTGATGAAATGACATAACGCCTGCCAGTTCTGCAATTATGTTTACGATAATGATGGAAATGCAAGAAGACTTGTGGTTCTTTTGCTAATTAACCAGCTTATTTGGAACAAATCAATAATGCCTATCACTTGCTAAATATGATCTGTAGCTGCCAACCCAACTACTTCAGGAGGGGTTTATTTTTGTCCATGGAAAACATATTTAATAAATGGTGGGGGAATGAGGGGAACGCACAGGTTTAAGGGCCGTCACCTGACACAGAAAATAAAAACCTAATACGACAGGTTTCTGAGTAGAGACTTCAACATTTGAGAACCAACTTATTCACAGAACTTCACCATCGCTAGGATTAAAATAAAACATGACTGACTGGTTTCACCGTAGAACTCTGCACAGGTGCGCAGCAGTTCGAGTTGCCACACTCCATATAGCACATAAAGCAAGAGAAGAGAATAAAGATATTCAAAACAGAGATATGAGGCAAAAACAACAGTAATATGGAAGAGCAATAAAATTGTATTGGATATGATAAATCACATAGGGTGGATGCATCTGCCCCTTTGAAAGCGATTTTGAGCCATATCACCGATTGTCTACAGGCATTGATGTTTACCGTCCCGAGGACCCCAACCAGAAAGGCAGTCTACACCTTCCTACGTGGCTTAAACTAACTGTCGTGGATTTCATTGACTGATGAGGCCATGGTTTGACCACCACTTGCTCTTTCCCAACCTGATCCTATGTCAGCTAACATTGCCCATCGGTGCATGCGTAACACATATCCTAACCGTTTCCATCGGTGTAACTTCACAACCTCATCGATTGATTCCCCCTCCTTACTTAACAATCGACATCTAATCTCGATATTGTTCACCTTATTATACCACTTAACAGGAGAGAATAAGACATGAATTTAGTACGTTGCTCATATTTCTAAGCATCATTGCTTGGAACACATTTTTCATGTACTATGTTAAGAGCCACACTTATCTTGTGGAGAGTGATAATACTACCCAGTTGTCCAAGCTGAAGTAGGCGGCACTTGAACCCGTGAGTCGTCAGCTGAAAACAGTGCTTAAACGAATGAGATACATAATCATTGCTACTTATACGCAGAGCTTGTATAGGTGCTTATGTGAGTGAAATATGGATGATAGAGTTATAATCGGGCCCAGAATTTACGTGTTCTCCTGCGATTGCTTTTTAGTTCCCTCATAATTACGGGCCCAAGATTTCAGGAAATACAATTACCATCTTATCACTACAGAATACCTTTTCAGAGATTGAGAATTAATGGTAACCATGTTTTAAGTATATTTCCCGACTACAATACCATTGTAAATGTTAGATTGAGTTTTTAAATAATCCCTTACCTTTCCTATACTAGTAGTTCGAATATCCTTTAACTCATTTGCCAGGGTCTGCTTGAAATTCTGTGCTGTTCATGTTTTACACAGAATGATCCACAGTGTGAGCATTTCTGAGAAGGCATTGGGATCATCTTCTTTGTATTGGTCTTATCACTGATGCCAACACTACCCTCCTTCTCTGCTTTTATTGTCTTTCAATTAGAATACTCATATTTAGACTACTGACTCATTTCCGTTAAAGGTGTCCACCGATGTTACTCATTGTACAGTGTAATAATGGAAAATACAAACAATTAAGGTAGGGGACGAGAATTATGTTGTAGGTTGTGGGCTAGTTTATGCTTAAGTCAGGTGTTAAGAAAACGTTGCAATAGACTCACTGGTGAGAAACAACACAATAACCACAGAATTTATGATTGAGAACCAATGAAGTTGGCCACTTGCAGTTTTTAAGTATATATCCCAACGCGAGGCCCATTTGACGTCTGATGGTTCCCAAACAACTTCACTAGTGAATTGAATAACAGTTTCTTTCCCATCAATACTCTTCCAATTCGAAATCGGTAAATGTGAGTCCACATCCTTGCACACACCGTTCTCTGAATGCAGATATTTCTCAGAAACACTTCAAAGGATGAGAAAAACAATGACCTACCTCATAGGTTCTATTTCAAAGCCAACAAAACGGTAAGAGCCACTATAAGTGTTATAAAAAAGCTAACAACATACCTATCGGTCTCGTGATACTGTAGAATAAACTTCAGGTGATTGTTAATATAAGCGACTCCATCAACAACTGAACCTAGCCTATAACCATGTTCATAGCGGAACGTTTTGCCACCGTCAGAAGAAATTTTAGTTCCACAAGGTAGATTATCGATAGAACTTCATTAAAAAATCAATTTTAAAAGACCAAATTACAGATGCACCGAGTACTGATTCAAAATAAACAATTTCAGATTTGTAGCATCCTTTTCACTTAAAGTAATAGGAGGACAGACTTGGGAACAGCCTCTATTTTCTGCCATTTTTATTGCAAATGGGGTATTAACAACACGATCACCACGAAGTATCTCACCTAAATAAATCTTGTTTGAGGAATGGAAAAGGTGAAAACAAACCAATATTCTCTGGTGGATACTCAATAAGTTGCTTTGGACGACAAAATGGGACTTTATAATATTCATATGGAAGCTGAGTTACGTAGCTGGTCAACTTCACAGCCTTGAAAACGTTATCATGCAAAAAGTGTGTCATACCATGACTTCAATTGTGTCTCCCTTAGAAAACTCATTTGGTGTCACTCCAGGAACACTCACCGTTTCGGAATCGGATAGAAGTGACACGAAAACGACACTGACAAGTGCCAACAACATGACCTTGAAAATGTCAAACTAGTTGCCAGGACTATTCTGACTTATTTGATGGGAACAATCAAAAAACGCATTTTCAATCTTCCAATGAGTTATAGGCCTAGGACGAGTTCTTTCAAATAGTTCAGTGTGCTTTGACCGTCACCCAAATTGTGTGCATTTACAAGAGCTTAAAGCATGAGAACATGTGCGTCGGTGGCACAGTGGTTAGGACTCTCGCCGACTATGCACATGGTCCGGGGTTCGATCCCCTGCCGGCGCACACCCGATATCTATGGTCGGCCTGAATTTGGGCTACCGATATCCATGCTGAAAATTCCACACTTGTACTGAAAATACGGTGTGGAATCAAGCTGTAAATCAAAAAAAATAATAAAAAATAAATGTTAGATCATATAAACCCCGGACAATTTCGGTATGTGATGAATCAGTGAAGCCACAACACAACAATAAACATTTCCTTCTGTCGATTGAAGAAAGGTGACGACTGACAAAACACTCATGTAAAATGAAGAAGATAAATAAACTGTTTATTTCTTCTTGGTCCAGAAACATCAGATAAACAGTGGGTTATTGAGTGCTGTGCCATCCCTGTTCAAAGCATATTTACCAATTTGAAAGCTGTCATTTGAAGACAGGTTACCAATATTATTGATTATTGCAGGCAAGGATCACTTGTTTACACAGCCCGAGACCATTAGTTACCTAAAAACTGCATAGTCACGCATAAATTGACGAATTATTTCTTGAAAGTATTAGCCTTTGGCTTTAACTACTTAAGTCGGTGTGTTGAACACCAACGTTATATGGCACGCTGCTGATCTTTATCTTACTAGGCACTTGTTTTGGCATCCCGTCACCGATCCTCATGTATGTGTCGTAATTGTTTCTGACGCGCGATATGCTAAATCTTTATAGTCAACGCTAAGTATGCACAAGGGCAGCATTTGCATACAACTCGTGAGTTCTTATTATTTGCGTGTCTAAAACTCAGACACACTCAAACGACTGCAAACACGATTCAGAAGTCCCATACACGATTTAAACCAACTAAGTTATACACTGTTATGGCGTGGAACACTTACAATTTCCGGACAAATTTTCTCACACTACAGCGGAGTCAGAGTCATCTCTCACAAATGATGCCTCCTAGTGTAAATGGCACTTCGTGGAATACATTAGTTCTAAGTCTTATGATTATCGTACAAATAGGAACCCTTATAGCTGATTTGCACATATGTGCACTCCCGAATTTCTGCATGTCAGCATATCTCTTTGACACATTATTAGGGATTCAGCAGTGCAGCTTCGTTCCACTCTCTCTTCATTAGCCTGCTTAAGCTGGCTGAATAGCTGCACATAGGCTTTCACATTCTTCTCAAACCACCTCCTCCCGGTCACCTTCGGAAATCCATCTCGATTCCCTTGGGCGCGGTAACATTAAAAGCGTTCTTCAGTTTGTGTCCGGCCAACTTCCATTTCCTCATGCATATTTTTGGGATGGTTCATCCTCTTCAGCTACTTAGCTTCTTGTCAGATTTCCTTCTGGCTTTCAGGTCTTCATTATTGAGAGCTTTTCAGGAGATTTCGCAGTTTGCTGGAAACGCTTTTGGTGAACTGCTAAGTTTCTGAACCACATAGGGCGAAATACGATTAGTTCCCCCACAGTTTTTCATATTTGCGTTAACGTACAAACATTAGCTCAGGTGCTGTGTTAAGTGCGTCTGCTGATATCCCCAATTGATATTTTTCAGGTTTTTCGCCCTATTAGGGTGGGGAGAACAGAAAACACTGATCTGTAAAGGACTCGATGGTTGCATCATCCAAAATACTCCTAAGAGGCATACCCAAATTTTCGCCAAAGCCTGTCTCCGCTGTCTCGATACTGAAGATCGAATGACCAACTGGGAAGAATAAGCTACCAACAAATATTTCTATCACGTAGCCAACTAAACAACAATATATTGCCCAAAAATAGCTAGAAGGAAATCGAAACTGATCGAAAATGCGCCTTAGAGAAATTCAAGGGCCATCTCACTTCGGATCAGTGAGTGAAACTCGTGAGAAGCGACGGCTTCGGCCTCGTAGTGTAAAATGAATGAGATCTTGATAAGAGGACACGAAATCTTTCTGTTGGTATCGGTGACTAAGGAAAATGATCGGCGAAAAAGGATTACAAGGGAGATGTGCCACTGTAACCCTATGTTCCGCTTTGGCAGCAAGAGACTACTAATAATAAAACTTGTTCTGTCTACCAGGAATCGCTTAAAAGGACGGAAGGTTCTTGAACGATTAGCAAAGAGGACTACTTGGAAAACAGTGGGTTTCTCTAAAAGTTCGGTCATTATTTTTGTAAAATAACACTAGTGACTCACTAAAATAAACAGCGTGCGTCTAAGTATTTAAATGATTGATACTCCTAGCTGGTAACTTGTTGAAAATCCAGAGCATGGTTAAAGTAGCACATGTAACATACATACAGAACTGTTCAGAGTAACCATGGTTTTGGATATAGCATTCGTCATTGTGCCACCTTTCCTCTTTCCGAATTGTCGATAGCCCAGCAAGCGGTATTATATGTGAATATTGAAGGAATTTTAAATTCGGTGATGAAAATTAGCGAAACTGAGCCTACCTCATTTTGCAAATATTTTTCGACATTTTAAGATGGATTTGGTGATATTTAAAGTAACGAATAGTTTTTTCGAAGTCGCTATTTTAATAATTTGATAGGTAGCTTTTTGATCCGATGTTACTGACCATTCTGTTCCTGCAAGAATGAAATCCATCTGTCTTAAAGCCAGTAGGTTTCTCAGCCTTATAACTGCTAAGGAATTAGTCAAATAAGCCACGGAAACGATAGGTAAACCATCTGAAGACTGAATACCGAATACTGATTTCAAATAATTTCTGCCCCTCAGGATGCACGCAAATGAAAAAGAAAGACAGACCAGGCTGAGCTGACGTCAACAATCGGTTTTATTAGAAAAAATACCCAAAATATATGTTGCAACGCGAAATATACCGTCAAACACTATTGTGATACTAAGTACAGCATTTTTCGCTTTTGGGCTACAATTATCCAGTGCTGCGCACAGTGTTACCAACAACTCGGAACAAGAGAAGAAGGAAGACTTATACAGACAACTGCAAACAGTAATGGATAACATCCCAAATGGAGACATTAATGTCCGTTTGGACTGGGAGCAGACAATAAAGGAAGTGAGCTTATCATGAGTTGAGAGGCTCTCAGCGAAATGAATGACAATGGAAAACTCTCCACAGACTTTAGTGATTTGATGACTGGAGACAGCATGCACAAGCACAATAATATACACAAACCAACATGGAATTCTCTTGACAGACATACCAGAAACTAGATACGCCTCATTTTAATGTTGCTCAAGAAAATGAGGACGCAGCCTGTTAGACACAAAGTCGATAAGCGGAGCAGATGTGGGCCCAAACCATTATCTAGTGGATGGAACCTTCAAAGTCGAGTTGAAAGCCTTCATAACGACTGCAGACAGACCGCAATTCGACTTCAACTGACACACGGAAAGATGAAACCAAAAAAGATATCTTCAATGCAGCCACAGAGCGAATTCGGCGACACTACGTGGCATCGTTGAGGAAATCTGCATAGAAAAGCATTGGAACCCTTTGAAGCCGATTTGCAGGGAAAGGTGTGTCACCGTTTCAGGAAGAAGGAAGAGTCAGGAAAAGGAATGGCTCTGGAACCTAATAGTTCTAAGAAAGGCAAAAGATAAGTCTACGACACACTGGCTGTCAACTGAAGCAGAAAAGGCAGGGGCAGGTAAAAGAGACCTCAGAACATTATATTAGATTACCAGGCCCCTATCCGGGAAACGATTAAGGCAGCGGAAACCCATAAGTGATGGTCAAGGGAACCTAATTACCGAAGAGCACAAACAAAAGAAACAATGCGATGATCACTTCCAAGGACTCTCCAACCGACCATCACCTACAACTCGTACAGAAATACCAACAACACCCAGCACACAACTGTCTACCAATGGACACCAATCCTCCAGCAAAAGCTGAAATCTTGAATGCAATCAAGCTACTGAAGGTCAGTCAGCAAGGCAACAAGATCCGACTGAATACTTGCGGAAGCACTGGAAACGGAACCAGAGACTGAAGCAGATATACACTGACGCCATTATTGCACAGTGTCTGGAAGGAAAGACAACTAAAGATTGGAAGAAAGGCTGCCTTGTCAAACTACCAAAGAAGGTTGACTTACGCCTCACTCTGCAAGAACTGGCGCGGAATAATGCTCTTGACCACACCAAGTAAAACGCCTGGTCGCGTCATCCTGGAGAGAATAAAAGGTGCACTGGATGCAGGCAGCACTACGCCAGCCCAGAACAACCTGGATTCACGAAAGGTAAATCATGTGCAGATCAAATTGCCACACCATGCACCATCAGCATCATCAGCAGCAGCGACATCGAACTGAGCGTAGAATGGCAGTCAAATCTCTACCTCAACCACATCAACGTTGAGAAGGCTTTCAACAGCGTTGACCACAAAGTAATTCGGAAACCACCGCGACACTACAGCCTGCTCCGAAACCTTCGTCAACCTCATTCAACATCTATATGATGATGCCACATGTCAAGTGATCCACAACGGAAAACTCAGCAAAGCCTCTAAAACAAAGACACGAGTGAGACAAGACTGTCTAATATCACTGATGATATTCCCGATTGTGGTCGACTGGATTATGTGGTAGACTGTGGGGAACGAAGAAACTGCAATACGCCGGGCCTATAAGAAGACTCTAGAAGATCTGGACTTCTCAGACCATTTATGTATCTTGTCACACAAACTCGAAGACCTGTATGCGAAAACCAAATTAACTGGCTGAAGAAGCAACGGAGACAGGACTCCAATTGAACATGGAAAAGATGAACGATGGAGATAGGCATGCAACAGCAACCAGCACCAGTCACTATCAACCACAGGCGGAATAGATGACGATTTCAAAGCAGGATTCAAGGGCCAAGAAAGGTGCTCATTGCTCT